TATCCCAAACAAGATAAATAAAAATATATCCATTCCTAGATGTATCATGGTGATGCAGATCGCTAAAGGAAATAGATGATCTTAAAAGTATCAGAGAGAAAAACAGATTTCTTGCAACAGAATGACACTTAGGCTGATATCTGACTCCCAAGAGGAAGAATGGAATCCAGGAAACTAGGGAATAATATGTGGAAAATGCTGAAACAAAGAAACTGTTGACCTAGAATTATATTACCAGTGAACTATCCTTCAAGAATTCACACATAATAAAGACATTTTCAAATAAAAAAAATAACTGGAAGCACTTATTACTAATGAAAGTTTTGAAGGATGTTATTCATGAAGATAGTCTCAGAAGGAATGTCTGAGATATAAAAGAAACTATGAAAAATAAATTGCTAAACATATATAAAGATAAGTAAAAAATAAAACTGAAGGACTGAAATTACTAAGAGTTATAAAATAAGAGGATTGAAAAACTAATATATCAGGCAGCAATTACAGTGTGCAATCACCGTTTGTGTTGTTTAGAGAGGGGATAGTATACTAATTAGGTTTCCACTTTGTTATGTGTAATCCATCTGTTTAAAATTCCAAGGATAACTGCTAAGAAAATAGAAAAAGTAAATAATGTCCAAACCAAAAGAGGAGAAAACTAAAGAAACAGACATAAAACCTCAGTCAATTCAAAAGAATGCATGAAAGGAGAAGTAAAAACAAAAACAAAAACAAAAGAAAGTACAGAATAAGTTGGTAAAATAATCCAAATATATCACAACAAATGTTAATTGCTAAAATACTCAGTTAAAAATAACAAAATCCATATATATGCTATTTAAAAGAGAAACACTAGACATGGAAGCAATCCAAATGCCTATCAGATGATTGGATTAAGAAGATGTGATACACAATGGAATATCACTCAGCCATAAAAAAGAATAAAACACTGCCATTTGCAGCAACATAGATGGACCTAGAGAATATTATGCTTAGTGAATAAGTCTGACAGGGAAAAGCAAATAATTGTATGATGTCATTTATATGTGGAATCTAAAAAGTGATACAAATGAATATATATGCAAAACAGAAACAGACTCACAGATACAGAAAACAAACTTGTGGTTACCAAAGAGGAGAACGAAGGAGGAGGGATAAATTAGGGGTATGGGATTAATAGATACAAGCTATTATATGTAAACTGGATATACTGCAAAGAACATGGAATTATACCCATTATCTTGTAATAACCTATAATGGAGTATAGTCTGGATAAATACTGAATCACTACACTGTACACCTGAAACTACAAACATTGTGCAATGCTGTAAAAATATTGTACAAACATTGTAAATCATGTATACTTCAATTAAAAAATTTAAAAATAATATTTAAAAAAAACACTAAAAGTATAAAGACCAAAAAAGATATTGAAAATAAAATTATGATTAAAAAAATGGTAAGATAATACTTAAATAAACTGTTATAGCTATATTAATATGAGACAAACACATTTTAAGGAAAAATATGATCAAGAACAAAGAGGGTCACTTCAAAATGATAAAACTGATGCAACCATTCTAAACTGGTAAAGGTAAGAACGTAACTTCAAAACAGATCAAGTAGAAATAGAAAGAAAGAGTACTGGACAAATCCACTCCTCTGAGCGACAACAATAAAAAGTTAAGAAGGCAAATATAATGATTTAGAA